TGGCTACGATAGCTGGATTGTGTTGCGCATCGGTTGGTCGAATTTGTCAAAGAAGGAAATCGATCAGTGCTTTACGGCTGCCCGATCATACTACCCACCACGGCTCTCGTGGACACAAGCCCAGGACTTCCTCCGCCGCTTCGCCAACCAGTTTGTAAATCGTTACGATGCTAACTGGAGGTTCTTCATCGACAATTTCGATATTCAACGCCAATCCGTTCCCCAACTTCCTCCTCCTCCAGCTTTTCTTCAGCAGCAAGGAACGACTCAGAGGCAGGGTATTTCAATGCAAAGCGTGGATAGGCTTAATGCAATGCAAGCGGGATACATGAGGGGACAGCAACAGAACATGGCACTAAACAATCAACTCATGCAAAATGGATATAACCCTGGTTATGGAAGTTGAGAAGCCCATCTTATGTCAATGTCTTTTCCATAGCTACTTTCAAATATGAGATCTTTTTTTGATCAAAAAACAGCCAGATCATAGTAACATCTTGTCCCAGTCAGACGTATCAAAATCCAAGAGCTGAAAAAAGAGCCGCACTGCTCCAGGCTCAGTCTAAATACTCTTGTTTGCTTTTGAAAGAGAGAGAGAGAAGGCGCAATCATCATGCAATGCAGCTGGTAGGCTCAATTGACAGTAACGATTTGATCAGAATATAATGAAGAACCAGGAGTTTACGATATCCTGAATTAGGTTGATCTAAATGTAACGATCTCGAAGTATCGTGCAGTCATCAGAGCATTATGGGCTCTCTAAATGCTTTGTATTTATGCAGCCGCAGGAATTCCCCATACAACTAAGTTTGCCTTGACCTTGTCCATTGCTTCAATTTCCTCTTGTTCATACTTCCCAAACTGACCCTGTGCAAGCGCTTGAATAACAAGATAGCCCTCCTCATTAAGCTGTTTAGCTTCTTCCAGCTTCCCTTGCCTTGCCAAGATCTCCATCAAATTTCGCATGTGACCAAGGACCTGAGGAGAGTTTGGTCCTAGCATCGGGTGTGTCCTAATCATTGGCAACGCCTCACGGGCAAAAAGCTCTGCCTCTTCCCAGCGCTTAGCCCTAGAGAGCATGTCCACCATGCCATCAATTGCAGCAAGGTCTTGCGGGCCTCTGAGGCTTGGGTCGATACCCGAATCAAAACGTTTCTTGTATGTTTTCATTTGAGAGTTCAATCGCCGTTCCACGACATCAAAGTCACCAAGCTCTCCACCTAGTTGACACAACAGCCACTCGCGGGTAGTCCAGCGCCGCCAATCTTCGGCCTCAAGATACTCAGCCGGCACCATGGGCCGTGTTGCTGCATCATCCTGTAGTATATGGTATAGTTGTCGTACCTTCGCCTCTTGGTCGAGGGCAGCATCCAAGCTCATGGCGTCGAGCTCATCAGAGGTAAATATCTGCGAAAAGGCGCGGGCGCGGTGCCTGTGATTGTCGTCGAAAGTGTCCCAGAAGGGACCAGTAAGAGTTGGAACTTCCCATGGGAAGACTACTTTTGATTGCAAGTCCGACATCTTGGACGCTCGTGGTTGATCAAGTTAGATGTCAAATTATGGCAAGGTGTTGGGAATTAACGACGTAACCACGGAAGATGACCAAGGCGAATAGAGATGTCCAGACATAGGAGACGGCGGGGTATTTATGTAGGATCAGCAAACCAAAGCGGTACTACTACCATCCGCATACCGTGTTGCCCAATTGTTTAGAAGAACGATCAAATTCTACAGCACTGCACCCTCTTTTCAGAGGAACTTACCCCAGCAAAGAGCAGGAATCAGATGACTAGATTGGTAGGATTGATGCGTCTCAAAAATTCCGTTTATGGCCATGTTGTATCTTCAGGTGGAACCGTTGTCAAGGTGATGATGTTATGAGTTTCTGCTGACGAATCCCGGAGCTTCAAATTTTGCTGCCTTGGATATCTCTTGATAAGAGCCGAGATAGCCTCTACATGCCATGACATTCCGAGCAACCTGGAAAGCGAAGCTGTTGCCTAATACTTTGAATAGAGCAATTCATAATTCTGAATAGCACATCGACTTTCTATACACCAGGATTCATAAGCGCCAAAGGCTTATCTGAAGGGATCATGGGTATTCCAGGGTCAAAGTACGGTGGGGTGCTACAATCACTAAACGCCAATTTCACTAATTACTGTAATCTCAATGTTCATTCAAGAAAGCCCTTGCGGCCGTATTAAATGGAAGAGTGCTCGGCGCACTCATGACCTGTGATCTGAGCTCAAGATCGAGGTCACCGTACCTAGTAGGGAATGCGTATCGTGTAGAGTCGTAATGCTTGATCTATACAGCGCAATGCACTTGCCTCCCAGTCATTGCCCTGCTATGAATGAGGAGATTTTGCTCGTTCCAGCGATCCTTCACAGCTAGGCGTGATTCATCAAGATCTTTGAACATATCAAGTACCATCTGACGCTCGCTAGCTGTTCCTGACTCAATAGACATCATCAATGGTACCGAGAATCTCATACAAGCAATGGGCTTAAAGCACCTGATGCAGGGATAGATGCCCCATATCCGCCTACTCCACTCTCTATTCTGCCATTCAATGTCACCTTGGTCAGGCAACCCTAGAAAGTTGAGGCAAGTGCCAAGTATGCGATTAACCACAATACTTAGCATAGAATGATAGGCAAAGAATTGCGTAGTTTCGAGGTCATTGATATTATAGTGAGTGGTTTCAGAGAACTCGTCATACACGACGGAAATGATACCCAATTGCTCCAATGGCTGTACCCAGTTGTCGTCAATTAGCTTCAAGTCTTGTAGTGTCGCCTCAGCCTCTGCAACGAGTGACAGACCATCGCTATGAGCATCGACCGCGTATGGACCGGCTTCCAAGGCTTGCAATTTTTTGACCAAAATTGGCCATTTTGCAAACCCATGTGCAATAAGCTGATACATGCTCATCAAATTAGGCGAATTGGAGGAAAAGTTATAAACAGCAGCTTCTAACGCAGCTGACCAATCTGGAAGGGTGTACAGATTATCTTCGGCCGAGTCAATGAAGTACCGAATCTAACTTCCTGTAAGTGAAAAAGGAACCGTGCACACTGTGCCCCAGAGCAACCTTACCAGAAATCCGCTATTCTCGAGGGCCAGCCAGATGTCCAGTTCATCTCTTATACTAGACGGCCCTCGTCGAACCATGATAGCATGTATGCCGCGAACATGTAGGGGGTGCCGGTTTTTGGTTCTGAAGAAGTCGTAGGCAAGCTAGCAAATGATTAGAGGTGTAGACGTCCTCTGCTCATAAATTTCCTTACCTGAATTCTATGCATAACCGTCGTTGCTGCGAGTGTTTCAGCCGATGTTTGTTGCTCTGGATCATCGACTGCTCTTTGTAAACTTCTTAGAGCTCTATGATAAGTTTTCGAGTCCATCATGTCTTTGGCTGACAAGCCCTGTCGCAACCTCTCGTATGTGGTGATGAGACAATCTATCGAGTCTCGGAGGGCAACACTTGCTGATATGCGGCCCACCATCAATCTCAGGGCCTGACCTGGCAGAGACATATCATATCCAGTACCCTCAAAATGGTTCAAGAACGCCGCCAGCCGTGTTATCAGCACGTCTTCCTTTGACATGTGCGTTCTGGCTTGGACGGTTTTCTCCCTCATGATCTTCATTTTATGAAAGGTGCCAATGCCATTGCTTGCACTGTGTAGGTTGACTTCCACCAATTTACCAGAAGGTGTAGGGTTATTCAGGTGTCTCCCGCCCAGTAGGAGCTTCTCTTCTAGCCTGCTCTTTTTGGTTGATGAGTGATTGTTATTTTGAACAAACTTGCGCTCCGACAAGGCGCCAGAGCACACCTTGCGATACCGTGTACAGTTACCACATCTTGGCCATGCTGCATCGCACTATACACAATACCAGTCAGTCACTTTGTTTTAATTGCAAGAACCGATGGCGATCTGATGCTGGGGCGGTACTTTCTAGGACGGTATCAGCAAATTGGATATTAACAGGAGCGCGAACTGTTCGTCACCACGTACTATTTTCCTTCTCTTACAATATAGACATCTGTTGCTGCACGGAATTCCAGGCATCGTAGCGCAAGCATCCTTGAGATTGCATGCTCCTTAGAAAACTATGGTCAAGTCCGGGAATTGTAGTCATGTGAAAAATAGACGTTGCAGCAAATAAGCTAGGAAGTTTATTTTAACCACATTCTGGTGGCCATTCCTGAAATGGAAGCAGCGTAAACGAACTTTTAGGAATTGCGCCAAGCCATCATAGGGCAGGCTTGTGACTAAATTCCCCTGAAGCCTGTTGTCAGATTTGACTGCGCCGTCTGGAGACGGCAGGGATCAAGCGCAAGCAATGGGAAGCCCACATTCGCACCAAACGTCATAGCGGATCCAACGCAGTACGTTGCTGGTTTGGGGAACATTCGCTTCATAGATGCGGGTACTCAGAAGTCTGACCAGCTGGGATGCGAAACGGGCTATGCAATCTGGTGGATTGACTCGGACTGCAAACTCCTATAACATCATAGAGCTGAAATCTAGACGCTACTACTGGAAATCTTTCGAAAGAGTGAGATTAAGCTTGGCTTATATTTGACACGTCTCTCCAAACTCAGAACATTTCAGGGAATTAAAACAGGCTATAGCTGTGGCTCGGGATCTTGAGGATCATCCACTTTAGGTTCTGACAGCTGATCGTTAAGGTATGCTTGCATGGAATGTGACTTGTTTCGTGAAGCCACCTAGTGAATTCCGGAAGTACTACTGCAGCTAAATTTAACCATGGTCAGGCTATTCCATTGACGTGAGATGAGTTTCGCGTACCTCAGAACAGCCTCAAACAGATGATAGCTCATTTGGAGCTTGTAGCTGTTGTGACACGCATGCTCCCGTTTTCACACGAGTACATTGTTACGAGTAGATCAGATTCAATATGGTAGCCTTAGACTATTTATCAAGGCGCTTCATAAACTTTAAATGTACATACTTCTACCCTGGGTTTTAAATACGTGGATTTTCTGTTCCTTCGTTCTCCATTGTCTCCTTTGCTTCCCATGCAAGGTATACGGTCTCGTGTACAAGCACCAGGCCGCCATCTGTACCGGCTCCATCATCCTTCTGGCCCTCATGCCCATCTGCATTCTCAAACTCAGGTGCCCTCTCCACTGTGAAGACTTCGTAGTACTTCCTCTCTCTTCGTTTGGCATAAGCCAAAAAGCCTAAGAACCAGATGGCGCCAACAGCAAGAACAAGCCAACCAACCATTGGGACGACATACCACGCCAAGGAGGTGACGAAAGCGGATGATGGCGGTACCCATTTTGTTATGATCGGATACGCGTTGCCAAGGAGGAAAACGACAGCAGATGTGACACTGATGACGGGTTTGATGCTCCGGCCTGTCATTTCACTCCAGGTCATCCCAGCAACCTCGCGAGCCGTGGCCGGAGGACCGCTGAATCGGAGGAGTAGAATGCCCATCGCCAGAAAGACACCGAAGAAGGCGTTGACGATGTAAGCTGCAAGCCCTGTGAGTAAGGAGTACGCGTCTACAGCTTTCATCTTGTAAGTGGCAAAGATGAGAACTAGACAAGAGACGAAATGCAGCAGAAGTGCGCCGACGGGTGTCTTCTCAGAATGCTCTTTTGGTGAAAACCACCTGTATGAGAGAATCGAGACAAACCAGCCCTTCTTCTTGAACCAGTACAGTACACGGCCGACGCTAACATCATGGTTTTGTGCAAAGAATCTAGCCCATGGCAGGATGCCTTGCTTTGCAATTTCCTGCTTGACTCTCGCGGCAGTAAAGGTCATCACCACGATGTTTCCGAATGATGAAATGGCAAGAAAAGCCGAAAAGATGCGGTAGCCAGTGTTGTCTTCGGGCGAGAGCTGACCGTAAGTCAATTCAAAAAAGCGTTGTGCCACATTTGAATTGATCTGCTCCTCTTTGGGGACGACAACCATCTTGAAGACAAATTTAGGTTCAATGTTTCAAACCAGCTAGAATCTAGGGAACTTACGTATGCAACATTAGTTGCCATGTAGAGTAGACAGACGATGCTCGTTCCAACAATCATGGAGATAGGAAATCTTCGTCGTGGGCGACTAATCTCGCCGAGGACGTAGTTAGGTTGCTCAAAGCCCGAGAAAGCAAAGACTACTGTCGTGAGCACAACACATTCTATGATACCGGTATTCGACTTTCAACTTACTGATCGCTAAAAATCCTGACGCATACCCATTTGCGTCAGATGATGCATTCGAAAACGCTGTACGTGCATTTGCATTATCTGATATCACATTCTCAGTTTTGGGCAGCGTTCCTGCAGCAACTATGATTGCTGTTATAATTATTAGGAGCAGCATCATGAGTTTGATGACTGCGAGCAAGTTGTTGAGCCAGATACCTCCGCGACGGGAGAAGGCATGGATGAAGCAGGCAAATGTCGCTGCTGCAATAGCTATGCCGCGCACAGTACCCTCGGATGCTTCGCTGTTGGCTGCTCGCATGATCCAGATGGCGAAGTTGATACAATTTCCCGCCATGTTGCCGAGGACTATGAAAGCAATGCCAAAGAGACAAGTGATGGGAAGGACTGTCTGGCCGCGATAGCCAAGCCACCGAAACGCGTATTGAAGCTACAGAACACTGTCAGATTTGAACCTCCCTTCTCATGTTATTGAAATCTCACGTAGTTCAGATCTCCTCCGCTTCTAGGTACGCTTTGCTCGATGCCCTTGTAGACAATTCTGGGAACGTTGAGGCCATACTCGATGTAAACATGCATTCCTGCGAGTGCATAAAGCACACCTGCGAACCAAAATAGAAGGGCAGCTCCTGTGCTGTGCGTTCCTTTCATGACTGTTTGAGGAGTATTGAAGATTCCACTCCCTAATTTTTCAAGACATTAGCATATGGCTCGTGGTTGTGTGTAGAGACTTGACAAACCTATCATGCGATTAAGGATTAGACATATCACGTCAATGTATCCCAGCTTGAAGCGCTCCTCGGGGGCATCTGTAACAATCTCAATTGGATTTGGCGGAGGCCTTTCTCGTAGCTCCCGCCGCATCGAGTCGAGGGAACTTGCATCATCATCACGTTGTTGCTGCCTTGCAGAGTAGACATCATATGCACTGGCATTGTTCATGGGGTTGCCTCGCTGTTGAAAAAATCGAGAATCCATGACTACTGACACAGGACTGCCCCAGACAGTATGGATGAAGGACTGCTCCTAGAACAACCGAAAGACAGCTAGATTGCTACCAGATAGTATATCATGGGAGGTGCGGGTCACAAATAGTATAACTACGAGTTGGACTACTTTTGGGCTTGTGACTTCTGGTAGTTCGCCTACAGCCACCAGGCAGGCTTGGCAGCTTCGAGAAACACGCCAAGATGTTTCTATGGCCAAGTAGCTCGTCTCCATGTTGCCTGACTGAGTCCTATGCAGGACGAGCAACTGAGACGGCATCGCGCATAAGGCTGTGCAAGCTGGTGGAATCTGCCTGAGAGCCTCGTCGATTCGCTAGTTAGCCTCACTCAATGGTGCTTGCATGATAAGAGCGAACTATAACTGGTCAGCAGGAGACGAGAGATAAAAGCCGCATCGAAGTATGTCTCGGCTGGAGTGGCTGGTAGGCAGCTGAGATGGTTGTGCCCCGCAGACTTGTGTCCCTTGGATCTCGACGCTATCGACATAGCTGCAGGATAGGCGGTGGCGGTGCCGTTTGCGCGGGCATGACAACCCGGTATGCCGAGCGACTCAATGCGCGCTCTTCACCGACCACTGCTAAGACAAGGCAACGAGCCGCCAAGGGACGCCCCAGCCATCCTCAGACTCTAACCAAGCTACCTAAATGGTGCGACAACTGTTATCTGTCCAGATTGAGACGGTAATAAGCGACGAGATGGCCGCCCATTACCGTCGGGCGCGCCCGTAGTCTGCTAGATGGTGAAGTGGAGTGTTGAGCCGAGACCCCGACTGCGCTCATCGGGCACACGATTCTCTTTGGAATTGCGGCTGTTGTAGCTCTCGTCCAGCCGGATGGTATTTGATTTCCAAGCGAGGAGGCGTGCGTCATTCTGGGTCAGCTCTCACCTCGCATCCCGCACACCGGAGGCTGGTTCTGGTCTGGCTTGGGACTATTTGCTGTACTCACTCTCCCGTATACATGCTATCTGTCGCGTGGGCAGATGGGCAGTGCTGGATCGGCTCCCTTTTAGTATTGTATTGGCAAGCCGCGCAGCCTTATTATTCCACCTGTCTATGCATCTTATCAGAAGCAACTGGCGACGGACCTGCGACCGAGACCGCTGACGCTTTACATTGGAACGAGTCATCTGTCTTCCCTCCCTGAATGAAGCCAAGGGCCCAGCCGCTGTCCTGTCGCCTGTACACCGGCCGCCTGAAGTCATAATACTTCCTCTACCTTGCCCCCTCCGACGTGACGGCTCCATCATTGACACACACTTGCATCGGGGGAAACTGCTGCCTTTTCTTGCACACAGACTACGAGAGCGCGCACTTCGATGGCTGGCATCCAGGTTGGGGATATCATTGCTCTGACGAAGATCGCGAAGGAAATCCTCGACTACGGGTGGAATGAGAGGTTGAATGCAAGTGAGTAACCCCTATATTCCATTTCTGATCAGCACTGGCCATGCGGCGCTCGACGTCAGATCGGCCAAGAATGCCCCGTCCGCCGTCGATCCATCCACTCGGGTTCAATGTGCAGCAATTCATGACACTCAATAACGTGATGATGTTGAACACTATTCTAACAACAACGTCACTTTTGCAGCAAGACAATATCAAGAGTTTGGCCAAGATGTCACCGATCTTGCTACCAACCTCGAGGTGCTGGCCGAGGTGATACAGCAGGCAGACCTCAAGCTGCAGACATTGGGTGCTCGCAGCAGGGCGAGGTTGCGGTGGGACTGGTGCTCGCTCAGTCAAATCATTGGGAACTGTGAGCAGACTCTACAAGACTGCTACGTTCTGTTGGAACGCAATGCCCGATTCGCATCGGGAAGCGGTGCTCTGAGGAGCATCGAGTGGAACGTGCTCGTTCAAGGCGAGGCCGACCAGCTGCGACAGAGGATCCAACAGCACAACACCAAGATTCTACTGGCCCTGGCGCCGTTTGAGATGTGAATAACTTCACTCCTCACGATACATATTAAGTTGCTAATGATTCACAGTGATCTTCTTTCTCGCATCCAGCAAGACCTCCAGCTCATCCACCGGGATCTTGCTGACCGCATCACTCGTGTGCACGAGGATGTGCTCAGGATCCAAGGTGTAATCATCCCTGACCTAAGACAGGAGTTGGCCCAACAGGATGCGCGAGAGCCTCATTCGATTGAGGTTCCACTAGACATTGCCGATGCATTCGAACGCGCGTTCAGCACTGTCTCGTTGGAACCCGGCGCAGCGTCACCCGAGCTGAAGGACCTAGCTGATGCTTTCGTTTTGTTCTTCCGACAGAGCACTGTCTGCTTCAAACAAGGCCTCTTCGCGCGAGACAGGGTGCCACCAGATGCACAATATGTCAACTTGCTCAAATGCATCTGGCTAATGCAGCGACTCAGAGAGTCGACAGAGCTGCAGGATGCGCCAGCGGACTCACATTGGCCGTCATATGTGACCAAACTCGAGGATGAACTGTCTGAAGAGTGCCGCCGATTCGAGCGCGAACTTCTCCCGCCACAAGACCCGCTATTGACTGCTGAGATGGTCATGATCTGGCCGATGAAGCGCGAGTCTACTGCACTACACGAGGTGAAGAAGGAAGAGATGATGGAGGGAGTCCTGGACATGTAAGTCGAGCCGATTTATTATTGAGATTTACCTACTGACAAATTTCCAGTAATGTCAAGCATGCTTCCGAAGATCGCGTGATGAACCTACAGCTGCTAAGGCGGTTGGAGGCGGGCGGTACCGACTTCAGGGTCAACATCTCTGAGGAAATGCCGTCACCTAACGCAAAGCGTAAGTGAGCTTCCTCTAGACGAAATAGCTCAGAGCTGACAATCCCGTAGTCGATCCAATTGACTTCGACATACGAGGCACAAACTTGACGCCGTTGTACATAGTCGACGCCAAAGTGCCCTTTGACATTGTCATCGAGACGCGGCGCAGAGTGACAAGCCTCCATTTCCTCAAGCTGAAGGAAGCCCTGAAGTTTCAACACGTTGTGACTAACTTTAGAGTATTCGGCTATTCACAGTAAGGGAGATCTCTGGATGTTTGCGGAGGCGACGCGCTAATGGACGATAGATTCCATGTTGAGGCCAAGTTTGTCTTTTCAGGACAGAGCGAGCCCGTCCAGGATGCTTGTGCCCAGATATGGATTCACAATCCAGTAGAGGGTAGGCTCTTGACAACCGCTGAGTCTCAGCAGGAAGCTCCCTCGCCCGCATCCGGTGCGCCGCCTGCACCGCTCACAGTTCGATCTCCCACGAGCATGAGCGGACGGACTACTTCGACTTATCAGGACACCTTTTCAAGAAGAGACAGCGTCATGTCTGCGATCATGGAACGGTCGCGCCAATCAAGCGTCAACTCAATCCAGCAGAGCCCGCGAGCCGACAATGGCATGTTTGCAGACCAGGAAGCGAGACGCTTCAGCGTTGCCAGAACGACCACTCTGTCCACCATCTCTAGCGCGGCGTCTTACTCGACAGCCCGTACCTCTGTCGGCCCCAACGACTTCTTGCGGCAGAACGGCTCGCCTCCGGATGAGTCTAGTCTGGCCGGCTATGGAATGAGTCGACACTCCAGCATCTCAGACAGGAGCACTGCTCCGTCCAGACTCGGAGGCACCATGGCAAATGGTAGCAGCAGCAGCAGTGATCATACCATGACAATTGCTACTGGATCTGGAAACACGGGGATCCTCCACGTAGAGCCTATCAAGCCGATGCTCGTGCTGTTCACTCAACACCGGAAGACGGGTGTCCGAAACATGGTCACGCTGGAGCTAGACCACCTCACAGATGTCAATCCCGAGCGGTGCAACTGCCGGCGGTCTGACCAGAAAGGCCTGGCATGCCGAGATGTGTCCTTTGAGCGAAACAAGGGCAAGGCGTACCTCGAAGCACGCAGATTCGAGCCGGAGAGCGCACAGCAGGCCGATTGGGACGTGAGTCGCCTGGCGTACGCGCGGCGCAACGAGATGGCGGCGAAGAAGTCAGCGTGGAAAGGGCTGACGAGAGTCACGCTCACGTTCGCCAACCCCCGAGACAAGGCCAAGTTCACCGGCGGGTGGTGTCGATGCGCGCAGAGAGGAAAGACAAAGGAGACGGACGAAGAGCGGCGGCAGTGCGTCGTCGACGGCCACCGAGGGCTGATCGGCGAGGCAAAGGAGTACTATCTCTCCAAGATGGTCGAGTTTGAGAACCGGCGCAACACCCGCCAGCCCGTCATCATGGGTTTCAGAGATGACCGTCAGTGAGGAGAGTACTCATTTTGCTGGGAACATTTATAGATCATTGTCACATTATGTATATAGGGGACTGGCTGGGGACTGATTGGCGCTGTTATGATTTGATGACTGTTTATCTTATGGCTTTGTAACTTTGGGTTAAGGTGAGATGGATGGATATCTGTACGGTAACATTGAGCGAGCGCGGTCGTAATTGTAGCTTCATATTTATATCCAACTTGTTGTTCTTCAGCCTTCACCGTGACCCAGCTACATACAGTGAGCCCTGTAACGTGGGTCCTTACAGTGCCCGAGATGCCCCGAAAGATCAGGGGAGATCAGTCGATAAGTGAGTCGCGGGGCCCCACAATGTGGTCGGAGCTATTAGGAAGCGAGTTGGTCTGTGCTTCAATTTCTTCTTTTTTTTCCTACTGCATTTTGCGACATCGCTGAGTCAACTGGCAAGCGCACCATTTACCGGCCTGTAAACAGCTCACAGTAGCTCTACCTTCGGAGATTCGATCCATCAACCTCGAAATTCCCTCCATCTCTCAGCTCAGACTCGGCGATCCCACGAGAATCGACGACGCCAGCATCTTTTGTTTCTTCTCTATCATCTCCTCTCTGTCGAAGCGCCTATTCTTTTCCTTCGTCTATACAACTCTCTGTCATTCACAATGCTGTCGACTTTCAAGGTTGCCGCCCGGCAGTCGGCCCTCCGAAGGGCCGGAGCTATCAATGTCGCGGCGATGCGCCCGGCCTCAACTTGGGCCAATGTGCCCCAAGGACCTCCAGTATGTGCCATGAACCCACCTGTTTTGAGTGTGTGAGTATTAACCAAAGCTTAGGATGTGAGTTTTCCCACGAATTAACCCTACAGCAGCGCCCAATGGCTGATCAACGGCATCGACATGACATCAGGCCATTCTAGGTATGACTCCTACAACACAGCAAGAAGACATCAACAGCAAAGCTAACACATACCTCAAGGCATCACCGAAGCATTCAAGGCCGACTCCTTCGAGAAGAAGATCAACCTCGGTACGATTACCCGCCCAATACAGTGTCATGTTGTGGAGTGGTCATGTTGACGAGCTCGGAATTAGGTGTCGGAGCTTACCGTGATGACAAGGGCAAGCCATACGTCCTGCCCTCCGTGCGCAAGGCGGAAGACAAGGTCATTGCCTCTCGGATGAACAAGGAGTATGCAGGCATCACCGGTGTTCCCGAGTTCACCACCGCCGGCGCGAAGCTCGCCTACGGTGAGGGCAGCTCCGCCCTCAACCGCGTGGCCGTCACCCAGTCCATCTCCGGAACGGGTGCGCTGCGAATCGGCGCCGCATTCCTCGCCCGCTTCTTCCCCGGCGACAAGACCATCTACATCCCCACCCCGTCGTGGGCAAACCACGGCGCCGTCTTCAAGGATGCCGGCCTGAAGGTCGAGAAGTACAGATACTACAACAAGGACACCATCGGCCTCGACTTCGACGGCATGGTTGCCGACATCAAGGCTGCTCCCAAAGGCAGCATGTTCCTGCTCCACGCCTGCGCACACAACCCCACTGGTGTTGACCCCACTCAGGAGCAGTGGCAGGCGATCGAGGCTGCCATCAAGGAGGGCGACCACTACGTCTTCTTCGATATGGCGTACCAGGGATTCGCCAGCGGTGATACCAACAAGGATGCCTATGCTCTGCGATACTTCGTCGAGAAGGGCCACAACCCCGCCCTTGCCCAATCGTTCGCTAAGAACATGGTTCGTCATGCCCTATCCCAATTGGGAAGCCCAATCGATCTGTGACTGACATATGCACGATAGGGTCTCTACGGCGAGCGTGCTGGTATCTTCTCCGTCGTCTGCGAGTCCGCCGAGGAGAAGAAGCGCGTCGACTCCCAGATCAAGATCCTCGTCCGCCCGATGTACTCGAACCCGCCCATCCACGGCGCCCGCATCGCCGCCGAGATCCTGAATAACGCCGAGCTGTACGAGCAGTGGCTCGTCGAGGTCAAGGAGATGGCGGACCGCATCATCAAGATGCGCGCCCTGCTCAAGGAGAACCTGGAGAAGCTGGGCTCCAAGCACGACTGGTCGCACATCACCGACCAGATCGGCATGTTCGCGTACACTGGTCTGACCCCCGAGGAGATGGACAAGCTGGCCAAGGAGTACTCCGTCTACGCCACCAAGGACGGCCGCATCTCGGTGGCTGGCATCACCTCCGACAATGTCGGCAGACTGGCTGAGGCCATCTACGCCGTCAAGGGTTAAACGACGTTACTCGTGTCTCTGGTGGAAGAGCGGTGTCTGGTAGAGAGTGGATCTATTTGCATGAGCAGGTCAGGGGGCATCATTCCCTGTGTATAAGTTTGGATCGTCTATAGACACAAACAAGGATAGACGGTAGAAAAGCGACAGCCGCCAGCTATATAGCAGATGCATGGATTGTGTAAAATACAGTACAGAAATTCACAATTGTAAGAGTTACGGTGAGCAGTGAACATTGAGATAACATCCAAACGAATCGGTAAAATGTCAGCTACCACTAACCTCGGCACCAGACTGCCTGTTTTCAATTACCCAGTCGGCCGGCGCTATCACCACAGCTGCCGACCTGAGGCAAGTGGTGCTCTAATAAACGGATATCATTGCCCAGCTGGCACCTTGGAATTTAGCCAACTGCCACCAGGTGCGGCCAGCCGTCGACCTCGCTGGCTTAACCGGCGAATACGCGGATGAAGATCAGACGAGTTCTGTGCATGGTGAGTGCACGGGTCGTCCCTGGTGAGGCTACAAGTACAGTTGTAAGCTTCTTTTTAGTGTACCGTGTTTCTGTTACCGCCAGGCAAACGACTGGTTGTTGGCTGCTCACTCAAGATACGGCGCTAACACGGTGGTCCGCTGTCAACACAAGCGCTGGACACTCAGACCCAACCACGCAAGGGCCGGCGCTCAGAGGTGAGACTGGCATCGCCTCCCCATCGTAACAAACGATGTAGTATCCAGCATTCACCGAGAGCGAGTGAGCCTCAGGGCCGTTCGCGATGCGACAATCACTTCGGAGGGTCGAACGATATCGGACGATGCCCATGTGACCTTTCTGCTGCCCACCTACCTGCTTAGGTAGACAGCCATCCGCGCACAGCCAGCCCGATGTCGCGATTGTCGCTGGTGTTGGTGGGATGCTCTTGTTCGGCAAAAAGAGGAAACCACCGGACGGGGAAAGATATCGCAGTCATCCAATCATTCCTGAGGATCGTCATTTGAAACAGGTTTTCACGACAGGCACGCAAACAAATCTTTGGTGTCCTTACAGATGCCCTCACATGGCCTCGCAGGTGGCGATTTTCTCAGCCAGCGATCGTCAAGGGACCCTTCAGAGAGGTGGTGTTTCAGCCCAGTCATTGGGTATGACGGTGACCCTAGCGATGCAACCCCTGCCGCACCTTCGCGACTAGCCACAGCTTCTCGTGTGCTACTACCAGATATGCGAGGTATGGCGTCGATCTCACCAGTTCGGTACCTGCTTCATCCAAACGTTGCAGCCTTCTGGGGTTCCCCTCTGTGGCTAGAACGCCAGGAAGAACTGCAGGTCTGGCTCGCTTTCAGGCTTGAGAGGAGGACCCTGAAGTCTTACCAGCCAAGACCGCCAGGGGACAACAGCACAGCCACGCCCGCACTGGGAAACGCTTCGACCTGCCCATTTCCAGGCCATACCCCGGCGCCTATGTCGTCAGTTTGCATGCACGCGAACTTCTCGACTCGCTGGAATTCTGTGACTCTGGAGATGTGAATAAATGCCATCCAGTCGTCCTCCCTCCGGGGGCGACTTTTGGAAAGATGGGCACCATCTACCTATCGCTCCGACGGTGTCCCCTTGTGCATTCAAGTCAAGTTATTTTGTATATCAACTGCTTTCCCCGAGATTCACCGGCCGAGTGGGTGGTGAATTAAGGCGATTTGCAAGTCTGACATACAATAGCCCATTGTGCAAGTCAAAACAATAGGAGCAACCCCCCTCTGGCGAGGGGCTTCCTCAACAACAAGCGTACCAAACCTTGCTTTGCCTAAAGAAAACCTACGAAGCGGATACGAGACGAATCTCAAGTCGTAAGAGCTAAAATAATTATTTGGTAGCCTCCGGCCAAGCAAAGGGCGGTTTCCTCGAGACCCTAGACAAAGGCTTGACTGGCTGGGAGGCGCCGAGCGCTTAACCACCCGCCCTCGCGCCTACGAAACAGTCAAAGAGATTCTAGGCATAGGCCTCTCGTCTGAGAGACGAAACAAAGCAGGCCGTTCTATTTTGGACCCTTCTTTGGGGGGTTCGTGACCTTCTGGGTTGTCAACTTGAATTGTCAAAAGCAAGGTGTGTGCCGGTTCCTATGTTGTCAGTCACTTACACCTTCTTTCCTCCCAAAATTTGCCCCGACCTCGTCTATTGTCACCACCACTGCTATTGTTCACAACCTGCAACCCCGTGACTCACGACTATTCACTTTGAACAATGACCGCCTAATCAGAACAACACCGTTTTCTTATTGTTTCTTTGTTCGGTCTCCTTTGTCATTTTCTAGCTCTCTTCGGCATATACCAGCATCGCTCGAGGCATCCTCTCTCGACCTCTTAATTTGATGACCTTTTCTCCTACTCGACTTCTTGCACATTAGTTTCCCGAGACACTATTACGAAATCTGTTTCGGCTGGACTAAGACTCGATTTAGCACACAATCGCAAAGATGTTCTTCTCAAGAGAGAAGCAACCCTCAACATACCCCGAGGTACCGCCCTCGCTCAACCACGACTCCTTCGAGATGGAGGACGTGAAGCGCGCGGCCGCGGCATCCTCAAACAGGCCTCCCGACAGTGCTGGCAGCATAACCCCATACCTTGGCCTTCGCTCACGACTGTCGCAAGTCTGGGTCAACCGCTGGACCATTCTGCTAATCCTTGTCCTCGTCCGAGTCCTGATCCTCCTTGCCAGCCTCAACGACGATCTTGGTGACGCAAAGACCAAGGCCCTGTCAGCATGTACGAAAGTCGAAGATATCGGTAGTGCCATGGCTTCTATGCCACACTACCTATCTGTCGGCGTCAACGACCTCGCTGCTAACGGCATCTCTAAAGCCGTGAATGGAATGGTGGACGTGCTCATGATGATACTCACTGGAGTCGAGGAACTCATCCTCTTCATCATCAACATGTATGTTGGGACGTACGCCTGTCTCATTGCCGCTTTCATCCACAGCGGCTTGAGCATCGGAGTCACGGTAGTCGGCGACACGACCGACTTCATGAACTCCGGTATCAAGACAATCACCGACGAAATAGCCGACGACGTCAAGAAATTTCAGGACACTATTAATGACGCCTTTGACGCCTTGAACAGTGTCGGCAGTGTCTTTGGTGGCAGCAGTGACCCGCCCACGATTGATATCACGGGCCGTCTTGATGATCTCAGAGACATCAAGGTCGATTCGACGCAATTCACCAAGGACTTGGTCGCACTGAACAAGACCATCCCCACCTTTGACCAGGTCCAGAACCTCACCCGCCAGGCAATCTCGATCCCGTTCGATCTTGTCAAGCAGCAACTCAATAATAGCTATGCTGGATATGCTTTCGACAACACGGTCTTCCCCGTCGCGGAGAAGGAGAAGCTCACTTTCTGCTCTGATAACTCATTTATCAACGATTTCTTCGAGAACTTGTTCGAGATTGCTGCAAAGGCCAAGATCGCCTTTATCGTTGTGATCATCGTTCTCGCCATCCTCGCCATTGTTGGAATGGCATGGTTCGAGATCGTTCGGTACAGGAAACAGCAACGTCACGCCAGGGTTCTCACAGAGAATGGCTTCGACCCCATGGATGTTGTCTACATCGCTTCTCGCCCAATGACCGCCACCATTGGCATCAAGATTGCCTCGAAGTTCTCTGGCAAGCGGCAATTGCTTGTTCGCTGGGCCATTGCGTACGGCACGTCTCTTCCGGCTATCTTCGTCCTGTCTCTCGCAATTGCCGGCTTCTTCTCATGCTTCTGCCAATGGATCGTACTTCACTCGATCGAGAAGGAGGCGCCAGCGCTGACAAGCCAAGTTGGAGATTTTGCCGAGGATGTGGTCAAGACTTTGGAGGGCGTGTCCGAGAAGTGGGCCAACGACGCGAACGGAGTCATCACCAAGTTCAACGGCGATATCAATGATGATGTCTTCGGCTGGGTCACCAACTCGACTAGCGCCGTCAACGACACCCTAAACACGTTCGACGACCAGATGCACAAGGCCCTGGACGACGTGTTTGGCGGTACTATCCTGGAGCAACCCATCAACGACGTGATCAAATGTCTAATCGACAACAAGATCGACGCTGTGCAGAAGGGCCTGACCTGGGTGCACGACAACGCGCACGTCACCTTCCCCCTCTTCCCCAACGACACCTTCTCCGTTGGCGCGCAGGAGTCCATCGATGGCGATACGGAGCTGACAACCTTCCTCGCCAGCCCCAGCTCGGTGACGACCGACGAGATCAGCGGCGCCATCGAGCACGTCACGACCATGCTGCGCAACAACATCATCCAGGAGGCGCTCATCTCCACGGGCCTGCTGCTCGTGTACGTCATCCTCGTGCTCGTCGGCGTCATCCGCGCCCTCATCGGCATGGCCGCGCCAGACAAGTCTCACGGTGAGGGCGGCCAGCGATTCTACACGGGCGACGGCCGCGCGCCGCTGACCCCGCGCTCGCCAGCTCGGAGCCGGGAGATATCAGAAGCGCGGTTCCCGCAGTTCGGCCGCGGCGTCGCGGAGAGCGCGGTCATGGACGACTATGAGGCGCGCGCGATGCAGGACGAAAAGCTCGGCTCTGCATCGACAGCCCAGGTGCGAGGTGGAAAGGGCGGCCTGAGGAGTCCGGGCCATTGGAGAGGGAGCAGCTACGGTCATGTCGAGGAGAGCTACAGGTAGGACCTGCCTCCCGTCGTGCCTGCGCACATGGTCTGAGTCCACCGGCTCGGTCTCCCTCTTCTCTTCCATTGACTCCTGGCTCCCGGTCGGCATGGTCAGGCAGTTTGCTTTTCGGTATAGATGGCAAGCAGGCGTTCTTTGTTTGGCATTGTTATTTGTCGGTCGGTCGAATGATACCTCGGTGGATGTGTTATTGCATTTACTCTCGATCTGGCATCTCACTATTATTATCCCCGGTCAAGAGGCGGCGCGGACTACTTGGGGAAACCCTCAAAAAATCACACACAACTTTTTCTTTCGCTACGGTCTTTCTCAGGAACCACTCATACTAGAAGAGTCCAGCTCCCACCTCTGCGAGGGGGCAACGCTGGGCTCGATTACAGCCGCTAGGCTAGAGAGCATTTGGATCTTTCTTGTTCATAATGTATTGGTCAATCAGTCAAGCAGTCAAGTGTTCAGAGGAAGTATGAAACTGGGACTGTCTTGTCTTGTCTCGGGAGAAGTGAAGCGGTGAGAGAGGAGGGTATGCAGGCTCCCCTAACAGCGTTGTAGATAGTTGGATACGTTCTTACTTCAGAGTCTACTGCTTGCTGGTCAAATGAAAGGGTGTGCTGCAAATTGTCTGACTCTTCAGAACGTGAATTCTTTGTGATTATATATGGGGCCTTGTATTCTCATCCATCCTGTGAAGCGGCCTCCTATCTAAATGGAGTTATCTTACATCACGGAAAGTAAGGTCCCTGAATCGCGATCAATCTTTTGCTCCATTGCTACTCGATGTTGAAGAGTCATCGTAGACCTGCCAGGAACCCTCCCAATCTCGGGCGGAACCCATCCGGACCTGCATGGTCCGTACATATTGTAACGCTAGTAGAGGAAGAGGCGTCTCCAGTTTTCCGGGATCGGGGGGTGGCAAGGAAGTGAAGAATCGTCCTTTGGGCTTTTAGTGGCGGTTTGCCGATAACAGAGACATAGAGCGGGACGGTTGGGGGACTGCAACAGTGAGGTGCGAGTGCGGGGCACAAATTGGCTAAGAGTCAGAGGTCGAGATAAAAAAAATCCGTGAGTCAAGGACGACATCCATCTCTCTCTACATCTACCTCCCTCCTTACCGCTTTCCCCGTCTTTGTCTTGTCTTGACTTTCTCCTGCATCCAACTATTCTCAAAAACATCAATTGACCCAATTGGACTAGCAAGACAATATGGAAGGCCTCAAGAAGACATTTGCCCACTGCAAAGCGCAGGGCCGGGTACGTTGCCCCTCCATCTATCTCCTGGGAGGATTGGTCCTGGAGCTTGACCGAGTTTCCAGCACCAGCTGCATATGGCACAATGAAGCTGACGATGCACCGTAATAGGCTGCACTGGTCACTTATGTGACTGCTGGCTTCCCCAAGCCCGAGCATACCGCAGATGTCCTGCTGGCCATGGAGAAGGGAGGAGCTGGTGAGGATACCCGCCCCCGGCCCGAGTCCTCTCACCCCGGATGCTGACACCGCTCGATAGATGTTCTCGAGCTTGGTGTGCCCTTTTCTGACCCAATCGCCGACGGCCCGACTATTCAGACCTCGAACACTGTGAGTCGACCACCATTGGACTCTAGATACAATGCCGGTGCTGACAGTTCATGCTAGGTCGCCCTCAAGAATGGCGTTACGATCGAATCGACCTTGCAGATGGTCCGCGATGCCCGGAAACGCGGACTGAAGGCCCCAGTGCTGCTGATGGGCTACTACAACCCTCTGCTTGCCTACGGCGAGGACAACCTCCTGCGCGACTGCACCGACGCCGGCGTCAATGGCTTCATTGTCGTCGATCTACCCCCCGAGGAGGCCGTGTCCTTCCGCAAGCTGTGCACCAAGGGCGGGTGAGTCACGTCCTTTAGTCTCTTTCAACGCTTCGTCACCTGGGTCGATGCGAATACATGCTAATATATGCCCCTTTTTAGACTGTCTTACGTCCCCCTGATTGCTCCCGCTACCTCTGATGCCCGTATGCGCATTCTTTGCCAGCTCGCCGACTCGTTCATCTACGTCGTCTCCCGCCAGGGTGTCACTGGCGCCCTTGGCACTCTCAATGCCCACCTTCCAGAGCTCGTTGCTCGTGTCAAGAAATACTCTGGCGACAAGCCCGCCGCCGTCGGCTTTGGTGTTTCCACCAGAGAGCACTTCCAGAGCGTCGCCCAGATTGCAGATGGTGTTGTCGTTGGCAGCATGCTTGTCACTACACTACAGAAGGCACCCCAGGGAGGCGAGGCCAAGGCTGTCCAGGAGTACTGCTCATACCTCTGCGGCCGTACCCCCGAGGAGAATCTCACAAGAGAAGTCGGTGTTGTGGAGGCCATCTCGGCCGCGCGGGAGCCCAACGGTGAGGCTACTCCAAGCGCCGTCATCACCAACGGTGATGTGCGCGGTGACGATTCTGCTCTAGTAGCAGAGCTGTCGGCTCTACATGGCAAGATCCCCGATCGTTTCGGCGAGTTTGGTGGTCAATTCGTCCCCGAGTCGCTCATGGACTGCTTGTCAGAGTTAGAAGAGGGCTTCAACAAGATCAAGGATGACCCTGAGTTCTGGGAAGAGTATAGATCATACTATGATTACATTGGTCGGCCGGGACATCTTCATCTAGCTGAGCGCTTGACGGAGTATGCTGGCGGTGCCAAGATCTGGTTGAAGAGAGAAGACTTGAATCACACTGGATCTCATAAGATCAATAACGCATTGGGTCAGATTTTGCTAGCGAGAAGACTCGGAAAGACAAAGATCATCGCTGAGACAGGTGCTGGTCAGCACGGTGTGGCTACCGCTACTGTCTGTGCCAAGTTCGGCATGGAGTGCACAGTCTACATGGGCGCTGAGGATGTTCGTCGTCAAGCCCTTAACGTCTTCCGCATGAAGCTGCTTGGTGCGAAGGTTGTCGCTGTTGAGGCCGGCACCCAGACTCTTCGTGATGCTGTCAACGAAGCCATGCGTGCCTGGGTGGTGCTTCTCGAGGACACTCACTACATCATTGGCTCTGCTATCGGCCCTCATCCCTTCCCGACCATCGTTCGTACGTTCCAGTCTGTCATCGGAAACGAGACAAAGGCGCAGATGCTCGAGAAGCGAGGCAAGCTCCCTGATGCGGTTGTCGCTTGCGTTGGTGGTGGTAGCAATGCTGTGGGCATGTTCTACCCCTTCAGCAAAGACCCCTCTGTCAAGCTTCTCGGTGTGGAGGCTGGCGGTGATGGTGTCGAGACTATGCGTCACTCGGCTACTCTCACGGGCGGTTCGAAGGGTGTGCTCCACGGCGTGAGAACCTACGTTCTCCAGAACGAGCACGGCCAGATCCAGGATACGCACTCCGTATCGGCAGGTCTCGACTACCCCGGCGTCGGACCCGAGCTGTCGCAGTGGAAGGACAGCGAGCGGGCCAAGTTCATCGCCGCCACTGATGCACAGGCCTTCCAAGGCTTCCGTCTGATCAGCGAGCTGGAGGGTATCATCCCTGCGCTGGAGTCCGCTCACGGTATCTACGGTGCCCTTGAATTGGCCAAGACAATGACGCCTGACCAGGACATTGTCATCTGTCTCAGCGGCCGTGGAGACAAAGACGTCCAGAGCGTCGCCGATGAGCTGCCTAGACTTGGGCCCCAGATTGGCTGGGACCTGAGATTCTAGACGCTGCTGGATAGCGGCTTTTACTAAAATAGAAGGGCAAATGTCGGAATACTGGTTGAAACCATGTATTCTGAAAAGTTGGAGTTCTAAGTGCTTATAAGCCTGAAGTATATACAGCCTTCAATAAAGACTCAAAAGTCCTTTGCCCTTATCTATTTGTACATATGATACAACATGCTCTGTGCTGTTTAGTGATATTTATTTCGACATTCCATAACTCTTATCCAGACCCATGCCTAGTTTCGCGGCCTCGGCTCCTCTTTCATGAAAGCTTCTGGCGCAGCTTCTGCTTCCTCGCCGATAGCAAAGTCACTCTCTCCGTCCAGCATAGCCTGCGTCTCCTCCATTAAACTTTCTCTCGTCACTCCCTCACCCACGAGCTCCACGGGTATTTCACCAGATCCCTCCTCCAATGGCGGCAAACCGAGCGCCGCCCGCTGTGCTGCGTACCTCTCCCTCACACTCGACGTCTGCATGACCCTCCACCTCAGCTTCCAGCCCCAGGGCCCCAGCTCGCGGATGCGCGCCGTCTTGTCGCCCAGCAGATACTCGTCGAGGCCGCCGACCTTGTCGATGGTGCGCAGCACGCGCGTGGTCACTCTCGTCTGGACGAAGCAGCCGAGGGCGGCGCTCCACAGACGCTTGCGCTGGACGTTGGGCCGCCACTTGCGGCGCGTCTTGATCTCGTTCTTGCGGCTGACGTTGTTGCCGAAGCGGATCCGCGCGTCGCCGTACAGCCCGCCGTTGGACTGCTTGTAGAACTGCCGCTCGCCGAACGGGTACACGGGGATCTGCGGCGTCTTCTGTGATGGCTTGGGAATCGGCACCGACGGATCGTCGCGGGGATGGCCCTGTGCGTAGTAGCCTGTGCGGAGGAGGGGGGAGGTCGTCGAGAGGAGGCGGCGGCTGCTGATGCTGGTGAGGGAAGGCGTGGTTGGTGCTGCTTGGCTGTGTGATAGTGTGCAGGTTGTTCGTGATGCGAGGGCGGCGCACCGCGGTGCCCATGATAATGAGGGCGGCATGGCCCCTTAATGTGGAGAGTAGGTGTTTCTCAGAGCTCTTTTATCTATGACATCTGTATTTATACTGTTTTTGCGAGCAATTGGTACTTCGAGTGGTGTCTCTTCAATCTCAGCATCGAAGCTCATCACGAAGCTCCCTAAAAATTCGAGGATCGGCAAGGCCCGAGCTTCCCAAAGGCATCACGTGTGAGGTCACATGAGAACGCATCCCAAACAGACGCGCTCGCCATCCCCCAAACACGATGTTTTGCAAGTTGCGGCATGATTTTAATTGTAACAGACGAGGTAACGAAGCTAGTTAAGATGTTGCCTCCTGTCGAGGAAGCAGTGCTGCAGAACAATCCGGAGTTTGCAGCTCTGTACAGCACTTTGAGTACAGTGATTCTAAATCCCGACGGAACAACCAAAAATGACCCTTCGGCGAAGGAGAGACAGGCTGTTAGGAAGGTATGTCGACCTTTATTATGATTACCTGGCCTTCATTACTGTCATGTGATTGACAAAGGGTTATAGGAATTAGATAAGCATCGCCTGCGAACTGCAAGACAGCATTTGGTCGCTCAAGCTCTGTCCAGTGCTACACCACCAGAGCCAAAAGCACCATTGAGAAGGGCAAAGTCGCAGCCCGGTCAAGAGTCGAGTTCCGACTTGCCAGAACCCCTTTTGGATCTCCTCCTTCTTCTTCCGCCTCTTCTTACAAGTGCTGAGAATCTCTCTTCCGAGAACACCAAGCTGCTCTTATCTAACCCCCCTTTCTCGTCCCTGGAGTCGCTTCTACCGGATCTTGCAAAGCTAGTGTCATCCAACATTCAATCTACGGCTGTTCTATTGGCGCGGATAGCCAATCCTACGACAAATCCATCTTTCTTACATCGCTCTATTCCTAACATACCATCACATATTCAGACACTGTCCTTCAGTATTGAGCAGGACAAAATAGCTCTGAGCAAGGCACGATTTTCCACGGCGAACTCCCTGGTCCACTTACTACAGAAGCATACACAAGCGCTCATACTACTCATTCGATCTCTCGAGGCGAAACACGGTGGTGTCGCGCGCTCACTTGAGTTTCGAGCTGCGGAGGTGGCATTGCTGGCCCAACGAGGGGAAGTCGATGCCGAGGCCGCACTCTGGAATGCACGGAAAGCGATCTACACGCCAGAGGTAGTAGATGCTTTACGGAACTATGCAAGTCATCTGAAGGACGGCCAGATGAGGCTCGGCGAGACAGTGCGGACCCTGCAAATGGAACTAGAGTCTTATGGAGTTGGTGGTGCGGACGAGGGAAAGGAACGGACGATGCGAGAGATGGCGAGGGTGTATAGAGATATGGGAAGGCAGCTGGACGAGATCAAAGAAGATCTACGACGCTTGCGAAGATGAGTGCTCCTAGCACTGTTCGTCTAGGTCGGTAGCTGAGGCGCTCAACTTCGAAGATTCGTCGCCGAGCACCAGCATGAAATTGATTGTGCGAATGGGTATAGGCGGCGGCAAGGCAGGTATATAAACACATTGCTATTCTAGCTTATTCTCTACGATACCATACCGTCAACTTCATGATTCAAGAGGCCCTCTCGAGCTTCTGCGCAGAAATTGGGAGACAAATTTTGTAATTATTCTACACAGGATCTAGGCTTCCGACCATGACGAGTCAAGGTCTGTTAAGAGATATTGCCAAAACGTGAGTGCGACAGATTTAAGGCGAAGCACACTTCAAATCGACGGTGCCGTTCCCACTAGCCTGGATTAGTTCAGCTTGGGAGACTAGGCGGGTCTCCAAAGAACGGCACCCTCGATGTTCTTCACACTAGCGTCTTCTGTGAAATCATGTTGTCAGGGAAGAGGAGTATAGGCATTCAAGCAGACGCGGTCCTCTTTGAATTCCAAGTACCCCGGAAATGACTTACGCGCAGCACGACTGCGGTGCTGCAGATATGGGTTAGGCTATATAAGAGTTCTGGTGCACCCGGCATCATAGCTTGACTGAGTCGTTTTCATTCTTAAGTTATTCATCGGCTCAATTCTCTCTTACATTTGTAGACCACCTCAAATTTGTTCTTTCTTGCTCCGTATACCCAGTCTTGCTTTCACAGGTTCAAGTTTCCAAAATGGACCCTCTCAAGTCAATCGACATGCCACCCCGGACGGAAAGCATAGCAAGGATTTTTCTGGACTCGCAATTTTGTGCAAAGCCACAGTTGCCACCTAAATCTACCGACCTCTCTGGAAAGACTGTCATTGTCACCGGAGGCGGCTCAGGGCTTGGGTTTTATGCTTGCAAGCATCTCCTCAACTATAAGCTCTCTCATCTGATTATGGCTGTACGGTCCCCTAGCAAAGGCGAAGCAGCAGCTGCTTCACTTCGCCGTGAACATCCAGGGGCCAAGATAGATGTATGGGAGCTTGAGATGGGATCATATAGCTCAATACGGGCATTTGTACGGCGGGTGGAAGATGAGCTACCGAGACTCGATATCGCCATTCTTAACTCAGGGATTGTCAGCGTCGAATTTGGTCTCAATCCCAGCACAGGCCACGAGAATGACATTCAGGTTAACTATCTCTCTACTTTGCTCTTGTCCATTCTGCTGTTACCGTCGCTTAAGGAGAAATCACCTGCTGGTTCTCCAGGGCGCCTTACCATCGTCAGCTCTGGTCTCGCATATCAGTCTCAATTCGCCAATAGTACCAGCGTTCCGCTACTACCATCTTTTGATACTACCGAAATCATGCGCTGGGATCCGGGAGAACGATACGCCACTTCGAAACTACTTCAACATCTCGTTCTGCCCAAGCTCACAGCCTACGTCAACCCTGATGATGTCATCGTCAACCTTGTAGACCCTGGCTTCTGCAAAGGAAGCGGACTGCACCGCGATGCACATGGCATGATCAAAGCTATACTGTCGCTAATGAAGACTATCACTGGTCGAACACTGGAGACGGGCTCATCTACATATGTCGACGCTTCTGTTATCAAAGGCAAAGAGTCGCATGGTTGCTTCGTTATGGATTGGTCGATCAAGCCGTGAGTTCGACCTGATATTGCAATTATTGGATTTCTGCTGACCATTTTCATCTCCAGATTCGCAAACATGGTCTATGACCCTAAAGGAGTCCCTGTCATCAATCGACTTTGGGATGAGACAATGACCGAGCTTGATTTCGCTGGAGCACGAGACGTACTGAAGAATTTGTAGGACTGCAATTGATCTGTTTTCTCAAAATATATGTTTGGCACTTTGGAAATAGGTTTCGCTTCTCTGCATGGAAACATAGCAAACACTTGAAGTCTTGTCTATAGTATGACTGAAAGCGTTTAGAAATCGCTGACTTGTTCATTAACTTTACACGCTCATCTATCAATATCTCTAAGTCAAACGCTCATCTAGAAGCCGCCTCCAGGCCCACCGTGTCCTCCACCATGCCCTCCTCCATGTCCACCCCCTGGGCCCCCAAAACCTCCACCTGGCCCGCCCCCATGATGGCCACCTCCGAATCCGCCACCTGGACCGCCCCCGTGATGGCCCCCGAAGCCACCACCCGGCCCTCCGAAGCCTCCAGGTCCACCTCCGCCGTGATGACCTCCGTGGTGGCCCCCGTGGTGGCCCCCTGGGCCAAATCCTCCTGGACCACCGTTTCCACCCACCATTCCCCCACCGCCATAACCACCATTACCAGGGCCATATTGTCCGCCGACTGGACGAGGACCTGGGCCATAATTCCCCCCGTAACTCCTCCTTGAACCGAAACACATTCTGTAATGAAGTGGGAATGGAGATATGGAAGGTATTCAATTAAAGCCTAATGCAGCGGACGCTGGCGAAGGCTTTTTTTCTCGTTTGCCCGGGTGGCCGAACAAAAATAGACCGTAATTAATTGGCCTTCTGAAGGAAGTCTTCAAGTTGTGCCGAGTGGAAAATGGACTTTGTGCTCGCTTGTGTTCAATTCGTCGCCAGGTAGTTCGCGATTGTTTGATGATACTCTTCAGAACAGTCTTTGGCTGAAGAATCGTCTTGAGGTTGGATTGGTCAAGATTGCCTGAAGTGGTTTGCGAAGCCTACTAGCGAGGGCATCGCTCCTTCTTTAATCATTTCCAAACTCTGTCGTCACTCCACACAGGCGACGTCACGAACAGTGGCTTTCAGGTTATAGAGAACCCACCAGCGCCACAGCAGCACCTAAAAGCGTCCCCTAAAGCGCCCCGAGGGTGGCTCTTGCCCCATTATGGCCTGCTGTGCCAAGCCACACTCCGCCGAGCCACGCACTCTAATTACCGGTTTTGGCAAGGGCGCCGTAACTGATACGCTGATTCACGTCATCCCGGCCAACCTTTGTACCTTCCTTAGCTACGATCCGCCACATCCCGGACCCGGTTGGTGTGCAGCAGCTGAACGATCTCGGCACTGACTTCCGGGCATTTCATCGGCATCCCCGTGCAGGCGCATAACGAGATAAGATTGTGGCTAGGCTCTAAATGGAGTACCGAGAATGATCGTGAGCTATTGAAGACTTGAGCAGTACACACTTGACATTAATTTAGCTATGCAATTCTAGCATGTCAGATACCTGTACAGGTTTTCTACCGCTCCCATCGCCGACATCAACTGAGCATCTTCGGTTGCGGCTCCAATATGCGGCGTGCTCACCACATTAGGGAGCTTCCAGAGTTCTCCATACTTCTCCGCTGTCGGAGGCTCCTGCTCGTGCGCATCTAATCCAGCTCCCCAGATTAGACCTTCGGCTAGTGCTCTTTGGAGATCGGCCTCGTTGACGATGCCGCCTCTGGAAGCATTAACCAAGATAGCAGTGCGCTTCATGGCACTCAACTCAGCGTAGCTGATCATGTCTCGTGTATCTTTCGTCAGAGGCACGTGAATCGTCAAAATGTCTACCACGGACAACATATCTCGATAGTTGGCCGCCCGAGTGTGCTCAATGTCCTTCCAAGCATCGGCCGGCACAAAAGGGTCGTCTCACTTCTTCCCGACACTTATTAAGGAGCTTGGATTCAAGAGCAACACCATCGTTCTTCTATTAACATCGCCACCTTATCTCTTAGCTTTCGTCTGGGCAATTAGCTTTGCCTACGATGCTGACCGGCGCCAAAAGCGCTCCTCTCACGCGACCATCTCGGGCTGCGTCGCGCTCGCCACGACCGCTGCTCTCGTTGGTCTGACAGACCAGCAATGGCCCCGTTACGCACTTGTCTTCCTTGTTTGCGCCGGAACTTTCAGCATCTACTCGATCACGTACACCTGGCTGTCATCAACCATTGTCAGACCGCCGGTTAAGCGCGCCGCTGCTATTGGTATTGCCAATACATGTGCAAACACGGCGTCTCTGTTCGCCAACTACTTCTGGCTGGATCAGTATGAGCCTTACTTCAGGCAGTCTTGGGGTTGTCTTCTCGCATTTCAATTGCTCGGGCTTGGACGATACTCGCTGAGGCGGACCAATCATAGCTTTGAGAGACTCGCCATGGAAATTGACCCTAACGACGAGGCTGCGGTTAGAGAGTTGGATGAAGATGCGCAGAGGGCGATTGTCAATAGATTCAGATACATCACCTAATTACCGTTCGTGTAACACGGGATTCAGGCACAACCTACACAAACAGAGTTGTATTCGAGGAGCATTCCTTCCTAGACTTTGGGTGGTTTTATTCAATGAACTGGTAATGATTTTGAAGTAGTAAATGTTCTCAATGTGACCAACATTGACTGGGAAGTCCTAAAATCTTACAACCATGGGCCTTGGTGATTGGTGGGCTATAAACTGCTCGAAAGATAACATCCAAGTAAAAAGCCACTTATGCCTTTTTCACAAACCCTTAACACCGACCTTGAGGAACCATGGATCCTCGTCAATCTTCTTTCGAATATCCCCCGACGTCAGCTCATTTACGTCCCAAGTTGCCCAAACGAAGCGTCCGTGGAGGAACTTAGCCTCTGAAGATGCCGCCCAAACTGCGAATTGACCAGGCACATTCTCTGAAGGGACAGACCTGGTTAGAAAATGCTTCACGTACGTTGACCATCTCATAAATCATTGAATTGGTACATACCATCAACCCACGGCAGGGTGTTCTCGTCATATCCAGCCATTTTCGCAGCCTCTGTGAAGACGGTGGATGGATGAAAGCTTAGCATCTGCATGTCTTCTGCGGGGATATCTCGAGCGATTTGTTGCATTGTTGCAGTGCATGCACTCTTCACCAACTGGTAACCCGGCATTTGCGGCGCGCTGCCCCAGTTGTGGATATCTTGGGTAGAAACGAAGAGGAAGTGCTGCCAGACTTTTAGTATAAACCCATATTAGATGGCTCCTGGTGATTAGACGGTCTGGCTTACTTTCTGACTGTTGTGGTTTGGCTGGTGATAGAATCTGTTAACAAAATAAAGGGGACAGTGCAGGTTATTTTCGAAATCCTGCCACAATCTCTCACTGCCCTGCTCTATTAGAGGCTTGAGTTCCGGATGGCCAACGGCGTTCCACACCAGCACATCGACATTCGTTCCTTCGGCGTGCAAGCCATCCCACAAGCTGGCAGCAGCCTTGAGATCTAGGACGTCAGATACTTTTCCAATGACCTCTGTGTCGGGATGAGCGGCTGCAAGCTCCTTTACAGTGCTGGCAAGCACATCGGGGCGGCGAGCGGTAATAATAACGCGCGCGGCCTTTGCAGCACAGAAATTTCGAGCAATGGCACGCCCAATACCGGTAGAGGCACCACAAACAAGGGCGGTGCGGCCAGTTTGTGAGACCTCTGGCCGTGTGGGCGATGTGCCAGGATAGGGCTTGTTATGGAGGGTCTAACATACATCGTCGTCGTCAGGGAAAGACTGGATAAGGACTATTGGTTGATCAACACTCACAAGGGGGAACCCGGGCGGAGTTTGTGTAAGCATTATCAATAGGGTCCTTGGTTCTTATTCTCCTGAGTATTAAAATAGCGATTCGTTTCTCTGTCAATGGTCGTTATGGCTCGGGAAGGAATTGTAAAAGGAGAAGGTTCCAAGGAACAATTGAAATATTTATACTATATACTACAGCTATTACTTCAGGGGTTATCCCTAAGTCAACACCCATGCACCTCGCAATCATCGGGTCTTGCTTCTTACCTGAAGACTGAGCAACTCGTCAGGGAAGATATTTTGATAACAGTAGATTCACGCCAAGCTCCACAGGCGCCGCACACGCCGCAACCACTTGTATTTCAGTCGTAAATTCAGCCCAATTAGGTAACGGTCGCTGCGGTGCAGCACTACCATTGGTGGGTTAGTGGGGACGAACCGGGCGCTTCACTGTCTATGTAACACTGCTGACACGATAATTAATAACAAAAAATCGCTTGCATTTGTTGACACAATCAAGTATCACAATTGAACTATGTGTCTTAACTTCCTATATGCACTCAATTCAAGTGCCCGATAATTGACCTGGATCTCGTCTTTCCATTGCGGCAGACGTCCAATGGTGCACATTGCACAATGTCTACGGCTGTTGGAACAATTACCTTATCCTCTAAGCGTCTTCAGTATGATTGACGTTGCCACCTTTGACATCAGCGTCGAGATCCAGCCCTGTTACAGCGGCTCTATCTCCGTCAAAGATCACCGCCATCTCTTCTAGCGAATGCCCCTTTGTCTCTGGATAGAAGAAGTAGATCGTGATAATGACGACGAAAAGAACAGCGACAAAGACAATATAGTATTTCCAACCAATGGCAGCCAGTGCGATAGGGTTAACGAAGATGTTGAAGAAAACGGCCAGAGAAGTGGCGATTTGTAGCAGCGCTAAGCCACGGGCCCGAAGCTCATAGGGCCAGATCTCGGCGGTATAAGATACAAGCAGGGGCGTACTATCATAATTAAGTTGATTAGCTCATCAAGTCTTGTTCGTTGCCATTTCACTTTGGCTTAGGGACGAGGCTAACGCATGACTTACAAAGCAATGTCGTAGAACCCATAATAGAGGTACAAGAACGGGACGACGGCTATTCCAATCGAAGAACTACCAGTATTTGCGAAGCTCCCAGACAGGCCGGTTATTAGGACGAAGCTTATAAGCATGCCGACGGCGCTAATGAGGAAGAGCGGTCGGCGACCGATTAAATCAACGGAAGCCGCGGAACCTACGGCTAGAATAAGATTCCAAATCTGTAAGCATCCGCTGATGAGTGTCTGCTGTGTAACAGAAGTGATGCCAATTGTTTGAAGCACCATCGCTAGGTAGTAAGACACCTGCGTCCATGATATTAATGAGTGATCACAAGGCTGAGAAGCAAAATACTTACAACGCCAACACCGTTCCATTGGGCGAAGATACCAAGAGTGACGGAGATGAACGCCCGATGGCGATTGCCTTTGGTTGAAAATAGGTCAAGCCATGATGTTGACGACATTGCAGCCCTGTCAGCCTCAATAGCTCGCTCGATCTCCCTCATTTCGAATTCGACTAGAAGGGAATGTTCGTCGCCACCGGCATGGTATTTTGTCAAAATGGTCCGGGCCTTGTCTAGATGGCCTTTGGAGATTAGGTAACGCGGCGATTCGGGTATCATGAAGGCTGCAGGTAAGATGACAATAGGGACAGCAATCTGCAGTAGCGAAGGAATCCTCCAAGACCAATCATCGGCATAATTGCGCGTGCCATAAGTTGCCCATGCAGCTACAGTTGACCCAACGTACCACCCACACATGTACAAGGCCGTTAAGAAGGCACGATGGGTGGGATATGCGAGCTCAGTGATGAGGAGTGGCGCAAGCCCACCCCACCAAGCCGATGGCTGGCCGACGAAGAAGCGGCCCATGACAAAGGTGGCCTTGTTGTTTCCTAACGATTGCAGCAGGGCACCAAGAAAGAGAAAGATGTAACCAATAAGCAGACCTTTCTTTCGGCCCCAGCGGTTGGCGAAGTAGGCGACGACAGGATAGCCGATGGCGGCCGAGAGCGGTTGAATTGCATTTATGAAGCCAAGCCAGGATCCCGATGGATCGTCCATGAAGGCAAACCATTGAGGCAATGCTTGAAGACCGTTCATCATGGAACCATCATATCCATTGGCGGCGGAAAACAAGGCCATGGAAATGGCGTAATAGTTGAGTAACAAAAGATGTCTTTGCTTGTACCAAGGAACGCCATCTTGTGGAAGGACACGGGCAAGATCCTCGCCGACGGCGAGCTGTTTGGCAGAGCCTCCTTTTCGTTTTCCGAACATAGTGAGCTTTCGAGCCAGCTTTTGGAGCTGACTTGAGGACTTGACGAGTGCAATGAATATTTGACTTCTAGGAGAACGCAGTCGATGCTCGAAACGAGAACCAATGCAGGAGCAGCAAAACCCTATGATGATCGTTTACTCTACATGTTGGTTATAGATGAGGAGGCAAGTTGAATTTATGCATGCAAGACACAAAACGTAGCATCAGATGCAGAGCGATCCGGGGCCCCGGAGATTCGTTGAGGACTTCGGCTGGGGAAAATTTGGGGCACGCTAACTCACATTGTCTCGCGGAGTCGCGGACTTGACTAGACAAGTACATCAACAATTGGACAAGACGCATGTTTCCCGTCGTCTTGGCACTTCAGACCAGATTTAACCCACGTAGACGCATCATCTGTCGGGCTTATTTAGATCCCCGAGCGAGTCGAGACCGTTTTGGTCCTTCAGAGAATGCTGGATACGACAGACGCATGACACTAATCATCTGCATATCCCCAGCCTACCATACTCGTCTCTGCAATGTTACATTCACTGTTTGGCCATATTAATCGTAACTATAATAATATGTCATAGATAACTCTCAAGCATCTGAGTTAGTTTAGAAATCTCAGGGGCTTCCTGGTCCCAGTACCGTAATCTGTCGATGCAACTACGTGCTATTGCTCGCCAGTCTGAAGGCATCACGATCCTTCCAGATATGGATGCACCAATCATACAAAGAACCTGAGCTGTAGTCTCCCGAATGCTCAACCAAGTGCCGTGGTGTCGGTGTTGGCTTGGTTCCCCCTGTATGTAAAATCCAATGTATAAGAGAGCTTTGTCCACCAACGGCTGCACTAGGCTTCTGTAGGTGGCCTCAGGACCGTTGTGGATAGCGTAATATAGGAAAGGACGATAAATCCAGGTTTTAATCCCCAAGGCGCGGCCTCGGACCATAGCGGGCAATTCTTCGATCGAGAGTTGATCTTCTTCGAATCGAATAGGGGCCGGGAGTCGTTCGAACCTAGACAAAGCAGGCGAATCTTAGTTCATGTGCTAATGAGATGACGACAGAGATACATTACCACTCCTGGAGCTGCAGCTCGAACTCTTCGGCTGCCTTTACCATATATGGTATCGCATCATCAGTCCAGGATGTATGATCTGTGGAGTAGAGCGTGTTGAGAACTCGATTGGCGATTCGACGCAGTGTGATCTCGGTCAAGTAGTAAAACCAGATTTGTTCCTGTTGTTGCTGTGAGACTATTGATTTAGATTCAGCCAGACCCTGGACAGACTTTCGCCCATTGAGTGATTCGTTCACAAAAGAAGGGCTTGGAGCGTCCTCCTCTGGCATGTCTGGGGGTGAGGGGTGCATGTCAGGGTAGTGGAGGTCTGCCAATGAACTGTTGGGGAGATCTATCTCCGCACGCAGCTCGCATTCCGTCTTGTAACAGCTCCAATATAGCCTCTGTTCTAGACGCCGACGCTTGGAAGCCTGTGGAAAATTTGCCACTACAGAGGTCTGGCGTGCCTGGCAGTGCAAATAGAGAAAGTACGATCTCGATGCTGACTGGAACTCTGACCATGCAAGCAAAGGCCTCAGAGTATACATGAGATAGACACCAGCCAGAAAGTGACATTGTGGTGCGAGTATCCCGGTCTCGAGAAGGCCTAGTCTCCTACGCGCTAAGTTGTAGTAAGATTCGCCCTGCTGAAGCGCATCTGCATTCGAAGACAGCGACGACGATAAGGTAGACTTTTCGGAAAATGGCCTAGCCACACAGCCAAGGGCACAAGATAAAAGCTAGACTGTTATCAGTGATCCTTGGAAATCTTTTTCTCGAGAGCATTCAGCACACTCACCACTAAGCAAGAAGCCGAGTCCCACTTCAAACCATCCTCGGCCACCCGATGCGCGTATGTCCAGACTGTATCCACATCTACAACGGGATTTTTTATGTGCACAAGTTCGAGAAAAGCTCGTACGAGTTGCGGAATATCATCCTCATTAATGCCGCGCCCTTTGTTCGATAGTCCATGATGTCTGGTCCGATTCAAGGCTGTCTCCTCATTGTCTGAGTCTTCATTTTCAGCTTCAGCTTCAAAAACAGCATCAATTAGATAGCTCTTTGGATAACGGCTGGCGAAGATCGGCCAGTCGAGAACTGCATCGGCTGTGGTACGCGACGCAGGAATTCTCAGCTCGTTATAGCTGTTTTGGCCCGGGTCCAGGCTATGAGTGGCTGACTGATCGGGTGGCTCCGGAGCCCGGACAGCCTCTAGTGAAGCAGGCGTGTCTGAAGCTCTCATTTCTGGGCCCGGGGGAATATCATCCAAGCGTGAAAGAACCTGATTCAAGCGATCCAGGATCAAGATACTAGCGGCATCAAACCTAGACACGTGTAAGTCGGCTTGTGCTTGTCAGGGATATGCGACATACGTGGAATAATCCTCGGGGTCTTCGTACACACATTGTGCTTTCGCAGCTATGCAACTGCCACAGCATGGACGCGCGTTGTTGCACTTGACCTTTCTAGAACGACACAAGCGACAAGCGGCGACGGCTCGTTTCCGAGGGTAAGTCACGCCGAACCTAGAATTATCAGTCCGCCGACGCTTGTTTCTCGACTGAATCGTTGCCGCAGCCTGGTTCAGGAATTGGCCATCTGAGCTGGCAATAACTGAGGCCGGATTATCCCTTGGCTGAGCTGCATTGACGGCTGGCAACACACTGGAGAAGTGGCCTGGCGCGAAACCCGGGGTAATTGAAGCCCCGTCACGGGGATTACCGAGAGATCCTAATGAAGTGGGCGTATACATCATGGAACCAAACTTGCAATAAAATTGACAACGCAGAGAACTAAAGAATTGGACTGACGAGACTGGCTCGCGGAGTTGCGGGCATGAGGCCATTTATGATTTGTTAATGACTCGTGTCATGTAGTCTCCCCGAGGGCTAAACAGGTCAAATGTGTGCTCGCGGAGTCTCGGACGACCTAGCACATGGACTAATGCGCCGCGATTCAATAATTAGTGGCTAGTCAATGCGGGGAGGCACCCATGTGCGGAGAAGCAGGTGGACATGTGTACTACGATTCCGTTGCACAGGCAGGCTTCACATCGAGAGCCCCTTAGTCGATAATTAATACTTTTAATCTGTTGGCTCAGCGGTCTCGGTCGAGTGCCCTTACCTATAGTTGGGCACTTCTATTCTTTAGGTTTCTAGACTCTTGCGCATCTTGTTCGGAAGTCGGAATTATCTTCGACCTCGTTGTAATCTTCGTAAGAACACAAAACATCTTCTAGAACTTTTTCATATCTTTATTATATTCTGTATAACTTTTGAGGTCTTAAAGTAATGTATGGTTAGGTATTGCATGTGCTAGGACAACAGTCGTATATTTCATCATCCTCTTTCTGCGAAACTTCACACGATGGCTGCTTCGGAGAGGAGAAAGATACTCAACATTGGCCTCATCGGCTGTGGAGAGATTGGTCAGGTCGTCCACATTCCGACGTTACTGTTTATGCAAAGTTACTTTCGCATAACATATCTCTGTGACGTTTCTGAAGCTGCCCTCAAGCATGCCGCCCAGAAGATCCCCGACAATCCTAAGATTACGCGCAATCCAGCTGAGCTCTGTGCTTCCGATGCTGTAGATGCCGTCATTGTGGCCAACTCGGACGAGTACCATGCCGCACATACTATTCTAGCTCTTCAGCATGATAAATACGTTCTGGTAGAGAAGCCCATAGCTTTGACGAAACGAGATGCCTTGGCAATCGAGGAGGCAGAACGCAGCAGTAGGGGAAAGGTTATGGTTGGGTATATGAGGCGCTTCGCTGCACCGTTCGAGGATGCGCTAAGGGAAATCGGCGGTCTGGACAAGATTCTCTACGCTCGAGTGAGAGGTATGATGACTGAATGCTATTTAGCTGAAATACCCAAACTTACAAATTTAGATATCATTGGACCAAACGCGGTCTTTGTCAACCAGTCTGGCACTTTCCCAGAAAAGTTCAATGATTTCGATCCCAAGGACTCCGCAGATAAGAACTCCCGGAGCCAGGAGATGGTTAAGACAGCACTAGAAGAGTGCGGTGGCATACCTGTAACACAGGAGTCAACAATCATGTGGCGAGTACTCTGCGGGCTCGGTTCACATGACCTCTCCGTTATGAGAGAGGCACTAGGAATGCCTGACCAGGTTGTCGGCTCATCCCTTGGACTTCCATTCTGGAAGTAAGTATCATGTAGCCATATTATTTGCGAAGGTTTGAACATGAGTTTCTAACAAAGCTTGAAAGCGTACTTTTCAAGTACCCAACATTCACCGTATCGTATGAGTCCGGCATCGACAACATTCCTCGATTTGACGCCCACCTCGAGGTCTATGGCGCTAATAAGACTGTCCGCGTGCAATACGACACGCCGTACGTCAAGGGATTACCAGTGACGATGCATATAGTTGAAAACGTCGAAGGAATATATAAGGAGACCAATATCCGAAAGTCATACGAAGACGCGTACACATTAGAGATGAAGACGTTCTGGGCTATGGCTGCAGAAGGAAAACCTGCAAAGACGACAGTAAAAGATGCTCTTCAAGATTTTGAGGTATTCGCAATGCTCATGCGGCATGGTTACGGCATCTGAGTTGAGTTGTTATTTAGCATCTGCGAGAGAATTGTAATCTAGACTACATACACTATAGGATATAACCAGCACTTCGTTGCGTCGATTTCGTGGATCGGATTCAACATGCAAGTTCAAGTCTCTCACACAGCACGGGAAGGCGTCAAGCTATCAAATTCTTTCTTCATTATCTAGAAAGTTCGCATCTAATCATCATCGAATCAGGTTCTAATGGGACTCCTGCGACATAGCAAATCTGGTAGTACGCTTGACGTTCGACGGCCTTGGATAGCAGCATTTGGCGCACGCGGATTCCCGGGATAGCGTGACTCTACCACCACAGCGAAGTGCACTAACGCCTACTAGCGCGGCCAAAGCCTATATAATCCAGCAGCCGGTACTTCGACGTGTTTACACGACACTAGCACTTAGATTTGGGTTTCCATTCTCTTCTCTCCATAAAGCACAGAATATTATTTAACAGCAATATGGCTAATGATGAGCTTCCCATCCTTCGATGGGGAATTGTTGGTATGTAGATAGACCATGGCGTACCACTTGGATTGACCCTTGTCCTAATTATCAATGCAGGCTGCGGTTGGATATCTGCCACTTTCGTGTCTGACCTGTTCACGGGTCGCAAGAACACCATTCTTCATGTGGTAAAAGCTATTGGCTCTTCTTCAAAGGAAAAGGGGTCAGATTTCGTCGCAAAGAACTGTCCCTCGCAACAGCCCACCATTTATGACAGCTATGACGACGTTTACAATGATCCAAACGTTGATATTGTTTACATTGGTACGCCCCATGTGCTTCACTGCAAGAACGCCCTCGATGCAATTGCTGCTGGCAAGCATGTACTCTGTGAAAAACCATTCGCACTCAACTCTCAAGAGGTGAAGAGGATGACAGATGCTGCCCGAGACAAAGGCGTGTTTTTAATGGAAGGTAAGGAATTTCGGCGACTCTTTGCGTGTTGAATATGCATCAAATACGCTAATTTACAATACTTTCAGCTGTATGGACACGCTTCTTTCCTCTCGCTAAGAAGCTGCAATCTCTCCTGCACGAAGACAAAGTCATTGGGGATATCCATTCTGCTTTTATTGACTTCAGTTTGTACATGCCCATCAAAGATGCTAAGCCTGGTGCACGTACTGCTTTACGATCTCTAGGTGCAGGTGCACTTCTAGACATTGGCTTTTATACACTCACCTGGGCATCCATGATATTAGATGCATCTCCATCCCGGATTCTTGCCAACGACCCCAAAATAAGTTCGAGTATGATCTTCCACAGCGAGACAGACCCGGAAGGAAAGGTCGATGAGCAGGTGGCCGTTGTGCTTACCTATACAGACCTCAAGGCTCAGGCTGTTTGCACAGCATCAATGCTACACAAGACACCTGATGAGTTCGCCCGAGTAATTGGCTCCAAAGGCATTATCTCAGTTGTAGGTCCCGCCGCTTCAAAGCCCTCTTCTTTGATTGTGAAGGTAAGCGGACAGGAGGAGCTTGTGCTGGACTTTGAAGTCCCTGGCTGGGGCTTTCATTACGAGGCTGACGCGGTAGCGGAAGATATCAAAGCTGGAAGGAAAGAGAACCAAATTTGTCCTCTCAATGAGACGTTGAAGGTGATGTCATGGATAGATGCTGCACGAGCCCAGTGTGGACTTGTATATCCACAAGAAGAGTAGATTTAATTAATTGCTTGATGAAAATAATCTGACCCAGTATGGGTTAGTCAAAACTTGGGCTGAAGTTCTGTTCGGCCTTCCATTAGGTTTCTTCACCGAGAGTGAACTGTCCGATGCGCCAACACTAACGGTCCTTTTGTCGGCGCTAATTTCCACTCCTTTCAGCCCTCGCATGTCAATTATTATACCACCGTCGACATTGGCGCTACCTGGCCAGGCCATGTTACCGCCGCCTCTGATCGCCGCCACACCCTTTTTACCATCCGCAAGCGCAGTCCGTAGTGCTCTTATAAGCGCTGCAACATCTTCGGCACTTGTTGGTTGTTCGATGTATGAAGGAGATATGTCTGCTTCAAAAGCCGAGAAATATGAGCTGATACTGGAGACATATGCTTCGCTACCAGGTGCGGCGATTTTGCCAGGTAGGGCGGCAGCCAGAGCGTTAATAAACTCGCTAATGACAGACATTTAGAAACAGGAATTTGGAACGAAGTATATGACGGATCTTGTGTTAGGAGACAGTGCATATGTGTTTCCTTGTCAAATAAAATCGTGGACAGGGCAGCATTACGAGTATATATATTTGGCTATGTTCAGACGCCACAGTCACACAAACAAGGAGACTGCAATATGCAGTAGCATCAAATGTAGCACAAATCTGCTCAAGATACTTCAGCAGGTAGCCTTTAACATGCTTCACATAATACTTCCTGAGCTAAAGCTGTGGTGAGCATCTAGATACATTACAATACGGTAGACGCGTACTTGAAGGATTGCCGAAGGATCTTGTGGAGAAAGTGATAGTGCGCAAATTGTCTAACAGCTTGCTTCAAGCTAGACAATATTAAATGGAGTGACAAATTTCTCACCGTAAAGCGAATAGCCACTGCTCAATAGACTTGCTGACTCCCCGATCTCAGGCCCATTCCAAGGCTAATTATCAAGAACGGTTTGACATCGTTTCCATGAGTGTTACGCATTCATGAATTACTCTTGAGACTGTCACACATTGATGTGGCTGCAGCCGGACGTTCCGACGGCCCACGTTGTTTCGCCCATGCTTACGGCGGGCGCTAGGAAATAGACGGTCTACAGAGGTTGAGTAGAGTAAGATCCAGTTAAGTCCACACCAGTCGTCCTACACCATCAGATCTGCCATTTTCTGACAACATGCTAAGGACGCCAATTGCTGGACATAAATCCGGGAGTTACACAGAGCAAAGAGCACACAAAGGTTTTGAACAGTGAATGATCGCTGAATTGACGAGCTTTTTGAAGACCACAGCAATCTAAGATACAACCAAGAAAAGTGACGTACAGCTTTTCTATTACAGGTTGACACAAACGCCATGTGTCCTATATAATCAAGTAGCCACTGTGCCCATGCAATATAGCCTAGGTGCTTTCATCCTCATCTCCCCTTTTGATGCGGAGATCTCTGTCAACAACATCATCGAGGACGGCCAGACCTTCTGATTCCGCGTGAACTCGAGCTCTCTTCAGCCTTCGAGTATCACGTTCCGTTTGTCGTGTGATCCACCATGTTGCGAGCGTCACTAAAGCGCATGTGCCAACGCAAGCCATTGCAGCGCCGAAGCTTTGCCTGTATCGTGGGGCATACTTTGATCGAAATATCTGAGGTCCAATGGCACCTCCGATTTGACCATAGCTGTTGACAAATCCTATGCTAAATGCCGATCCAGTCGCCCTGGATGTTGTCTGCACGCGCCAGGGCCACATCAGCGGGTACCATGCAGCAGTCACAGCATTACCAATCAGCGTCGCAACGTAGACGGCTGCGCTAGATGGATAAGCAACCAGTACGCCGTAACATGCAAGAATAATCACGTGTAAGGTCAAAGGATAGACTGGTCTCGGCAGGAAGCCACGATCAGCGAAGAAGCCGGTGACAGCAATCACTAGAATTCCGAAAAGTGAAATCGGAAGGTTCAGGAGCTGGGCCTGGGCAATAGTACTATCTAGCAGTCAATAGCTGTCAAGTTGGAATGAGTTTAGATCTTACGTGAATCCAAGGTTCGCAATAACAGTAGGTTGGTAAAATCGCACACCACTTGTTCCGACTGTAAAGGATGCCCAAATGAGTGTAAACATCCAAAGCCTAATGTCCTTCAGAGAAGCAACTATTTCTTGGAAATTAAAGTTCAACTCTTCAGCTCGAGGGGCATTTGCTGGGAGACGAGCTTGAACAAAAGCTTTCTCTTTGTCTGTTAACCATTTCGCCGTTGGGGGAACTATGGCGAGTGTTAATTGTGATCCCGATACAAGACATGCTCGGGAGACTCACAGTCTGGAAGCAGAAAGTACACGGCAATGCCAACCACAATAGTGAGCAGCCCCTCGGTCAGGAATAGCCTTGAAATGTTAGCTTGAAGTGCACAAGATCTTTCATTCTTTAAAAACTAACCATTGCCAACCAGAAAGGCCTCTTGTCCCCGAAGCCGTATCAAAGGCAAAGGCGAGAATGCCACTGAATATACCGGAAAGATTCCCAAGGATGTCTGTTTAAGTGAGCAGCATGCTCTAGTAGTCATTGTTTCTCCAACTTACAAAAATAGAGCAATCGAATTGACATCTCATCTGGTCGGTACCAGTAAGTCATCTGGAGAATGACACCGGGGAACATTCCAGCTTCAAACTAATAAGACTTATCAGAGATATTGATTTCCTTGCTACCTTACATGAGCTTACCAATCCTAGCAAGAAGCGGGTCCCATAGATTCCGCCCTTATTCTTCACAGGTATATGGCAGAGCAGCATTATTCCCCACGAGATCATGATCCGTGATTGCCATGTACTCGGCTTCATTCTTTTGAGAAGAAGGTTTGATGGTGCCTCGAAGACAATATACGGGACCTATAGTTATGTTAGATTTGTGGGTGCCCTTTGGTACATATTGACTTACATAATATAAAACAGTGAGAAGATTGTATTCATCGGAGGTCATCTTCAGTTGTGTCATGATATTCATAGGAGTTCCTTTATTCATAATTCTCGCATTTGAGATGTTATCAGCGTCAATGTTTTTGATCAGAAAAAGCAGAGAACACAAAGACATGATTCTCCAGTCAATTTTGCGCATTAACTTCTTCTCTTCTGCGGCAGTGAGTAATGACCGTGCTCTCATGCGATCGCCATCGAAACCAGAAATTTCATCGGCCGGCGTTGCCTGGTCTAGTTCTGTACCTCGCTGAGCAAAGTGAAGTGCCTGGTTTGTGGTGCCAATATCATGAATCCCTTCACCGTGATTGCCTGCGGCCAACTGCTTCGTGTCGGTCATGTTTGCCCTTGCTTTGAGGGCTAGGTG